GCTTGCTCCCTGCAGCCTGTGCCCTGTTCCTCCAGGAGAGATGCCCAGGAGGGGTCACTTCATAAGATAGGACATGTGCATGGGGTCCAGCGTGGGGAAAGCTTCACACACAGCAAGTTCTGTTCAGTTCAGTAGCTCAGTTGTGTCTGTCTCTGTGTGACCCCATGGACTGCAGCACCCCAGGCCTCCCTGTCCATCACCAACTCATGGAGTTTACTCAAACTCATGTCCATTGAATCGGTGATACCATCTAACCGTCCCATCCTCTGTCATCCCCTTCTCCTCCTTCCTTCAGTCTTTCCCAGCACCAGGGTCTTCTCAAATGAGTCAGTTCTTCGCATCAGGTGGGCAAAGTATTGGAGTTTCAGCTTCAACATCAGTCCTTCCAATGAACGTCCAGGACTGATCTCCTTTAGGATGGACTGGTTGGATCTCCTTGTAGTCCAAGGGACTCTCAAGAGTCTTCTCCAACACCGCAGTTCAAAAGCATCATTACTTTGGTGCTCAGCTGTCTTTATAGTCCAACTCAACTTTTCCGTGACTACTGGAAAAACCATAGCTTTGAGTAGACAGACCTTTGTTGGCAAAGTAATGTCTCTGCTTTTTAATATGCTGTCTAGGTTGGTCATAGCTTTTCTTCCAAGGAGCAAGCGTCTTTTAATTTCATGGCTGCAGTCACCATCTGCAGTGAATTTGGAGCCCCCAGAATTAAAGGCTGTCACTGCTTCCACTCTTTTCACTGTTTCCCCATCTAATTGCCATGAAGTGATGGGACCAGATGCCATGATCTTAGTTTCCTAAATGTTGGGTTTTAATCCAACTTTTTCACTCTCCTCTTTCACTTTCATCAAGAGGCTCTTTAGCTCACACACACAGTGAAGATCCAGGCGTTTAGGAATGCAGAGTCCCACCTCAGGCCTCTCTCCACACGTTCACCCCCTCCTCAGAGAGGCGCCCCCTCCTCCTCAGGGCTGAGGGGACACACAGAGGAAGGAGGACTCTGCCCCCCAGGGGGAAGGCCCACAGGGGAGGGCCCCTGCTGTCCTGCACAGAAGGAGACCCACCTTCCCGCTCCGGGGCCGGCACTGCCCTGACCTGATCCTGATCTGAGAGGAATCTGCATCTCAGACGCCCCTCGGTCCTGACCCCTGAGCAGTCACGGAAGCCATGGACAGACTCGCCCTGAGGATTTGAGAGGAGCCCATGATGGCCCTGAGCTCACGGGGACACAGGAGGGGCACCTGGCCTGGTGCTAAAGAGGGGACAGCGCCCAGAGCAGGGGGCAGGATCTGTCCTTGAGGGCTCTGGTCTCCAGGTCACAGGATGTGTGTCTGGGCCTGGACGAGGGGGTAGGGGGCGCTCGGGGTCCACTCCTGAAGATGGCTGGTGGGAGGCACGATGGGCCCCCTGACAGAGCTCCCTGACAAGGCCTCGTGGCCTCTGCTCAGGGCTCCCAGCTGTGACCTCCCATTGCTGGGGCCCACAGAGCCCCACCCCTGACAACACTCTGGCCGCCCTGAGGCATAGAGACGGGCCCAGGGCCCAGGGAGGGGTCAGTGTGATGCACGGGATCGTCTGCATGAAAGGAGCCTCCCCTCTCACAGTATGAAGAGGGAAGGAGCGGTGTGGGGACGCGCTGCTCAGCTCTGGGGCCACAGAAGGCAGGACGCCCTGACCGTGTCCACCATGGCCGGGTCCCCTCTGCTCCTCACCCTGGTCGCTCTCTGCACAGGTGACTGGATGGGGGGACAGGGGAAGGGTCCTGGGAAGACTCACGGGCTGGGCTCCGTTCTCTCGTGTCTGGACCCCAGAGTCACCATCTCTGTCTCTCCCCCTTCCAGGATCCGGGCCCAGGCCGTGCTGACTCAGCCACCCTCCATGCCCGGCACGTTGGGACAGAGGGTCACCATCTCTTGTACTGGAAACAGGAGCAACACTGGGGGTCATTATGTCAGCTGGAACCAACAGCTCCCACGGTCGGCCACAGACTCCTGACTAGTGAAAGCAGCAAGCAACTCTCAGGGGTCCCAGATCGATTCTCTGCCTCGAAGTCTGGCAAGTCGGCCTCTCTGACCACTTCAGTTCAGGCTGAGGACGACACTGATTATTACTGTTTCTCATGGGCTGACGGCTTGAAAGTGCACGGTGCTTCAGGCCAGAGTGGAAGGAGACAAAAACCTGCTTCCGCACAGCCAGGGGCTCCCAGGGCAAGGTGTTTGTCCCTCCCTTCCTGGGGTCCCTGAGAGCACGGAACCCAGCAGACTGAGTGTCCCCTGACTGCAGCACAGCTGCCCCCTCAGCTCGACTCCCCTCCCCAGGGCAGCGGCTCACAAGGGGTGGTCACACACCCCTGGATGAAGGAGCTGCTGGCAGAAGTTGCCCCCGGTTCCCAGGTCAGAGTCAGCAGCACAGAGCAGGGCGGTCAGTGCCGCCCTTGCTGGGTCAGTGGGCAGTGAACACACCTCCCTGACCTTCTGCCACAGGAGGATCTCCTGTTAAAGGAAAAGGAAATGGAATTCAGAGTTTCTTCAAGTAATTTCCACACAGTCCAAGATCCAGTAAAAATTGTCACTTCTATCAAGAACCAGGAAATTAAATATTGAGGGGAAGTGAGATGGCATAGACATCAACACTGAGATGCCTCAGACGATGAAATCAGGTGGCAGATATTTTTAGGGACAATTCATCAAATCTATTTGATGAGCAAATACAAACACTCTTGGGTCCAAAGGAAAAGGAGATAAATGGAGGGGGAAAAAAAAAGAATCATGAGAAAATGTAGCCAGAATCATTTGAAAACCAAATACATGAAAATAAAGGATAATTCTCTGTATGTTATCAAAGACATGTAAAATTTATTATTTAATTTATTTATTTGTATATTGGCAGAGTATTTGGTGACAGGACAAAGAGGCAGCCCCTCCTTCCTCAAAAGGCTTCCCAGGTGTCACTAGTGGTAAGGAAGCCTCCTGCCAACGCAAGAGTCATAAGAGATCTGGGCGCTGTCCCTGGGTTGGGAAGATCCTCTGGAGCAAGAAACGGCCACCCACTTCAGTGTTCCTGTCTAGAGAGTCCCGTGGACAGAGGGGCCTGGTGGGCTGCAGTCCATGGGGTCACAAGAGTCAGACAGGATTGAGAACCAAGCAACTGAGCAGCGCCTTGCTCACAGTCTCACCACCGTGACTGTTCCCCAGACGGGCCACCAGGGGCGCTGTGCGCGTGCTCAGAACTGGCAAAGCCCGAACACACCCACGTGGTCCCCTGACCTGGCCCTGCACCCGGGCTCAGCGCCCTGAGTTGGACGAGACAGCAGGCGCTTCCTCCAAGGGGACAGACTCAGAGCCTCGGCCCCCAGGCCTCCTCCTGGGAGTGACGCTGCACACGGGGCCGAGCACCCAGAATTGGAGGGTGAAGGGGTCAGGTGGTCATCAGTCCCCATCCTCGTCCCAGAAACAGGGGAGGGGAGGAGCCCCCGGGGCCCGCCCCGTGCCCCCCTCCAGCTCTGCTCAGCCTGCCCCTGCTCCTCCTCACCTCTTTGCTAAGAGTCTCCGCTCCCGCTCCCCTCATTCGTGACTTTCCCCAATCCCGAGACTGTGTCTCTACAAAACAGCACTGTTGACCTCCACGGTCATGACCAAGCTCAGTCTGGCAGAAGGTCACGGACAGGTGTCCAGATCTTCCTGAACTGGACACTCACTTCCTCCACCCCTCCTTGAACCTCTGTAGCCCTTCCTTCCCAGGAAGCCTCAGGTCTCTGGGTCTATGTGTGACCCAAGTTCGTTATCCCTCTGCTCCTCTCCAGGTTCCCCTTGTTTCCCAGAGGATCCACGAAGCCCTCTAGTGGCTGATTTATCCTGTGAATGCTCACACTCTGATCTCTGTGCCCGTCAAGTGAGGAATCAGGTGGGGAGAGAAACCGTGGTCCTGAGATGCGGGAAATGATTCTGTGCTCAGCTGCTGTGGGACTGATTTTATGCACAGTGAGCAGAGAAGCTGTTGGGGCCCTGGGCTGGGAAAGCAGGTGCCCTCCTGGGGCTCTGACCCGGGGCCATCACTGCTGCTCCCACCGGACCACGTCTAAGTCAGGTTTGCTCCCCGTGGTCACGTCTGAGTGTCCTGAGGACCACTGACCTGCCTTGTCATGTCCTGTGTCTCATCTCAGATCTGAGACCGATCCGTGGCTCTGATAACTCAGCCTGCCCTGTTTTCACAGATAGAACGTCCTGCTAAGACATGAAAATCCCTCAGTGGAGACCCATAACTGTTAGAGAGGCTGGTTCTGGCCCCGCCTCGCTCAGGGTCCAGTATAATTAAGAACGCCAATATCTTTGTGAAAATGTTATTTTACTTGATAATAAATTTCATAAGATACCTCTCGTGATTTAGTTAGAATTATCATATTTAATGAGCAAAGACTATAAAGAATGTTGTGTTTTATAAACAGTACCGTGGCAATGCAAATTAAAACAGAACCAGAGTCAGAGTCAACTTAGTGACTGAACAACAACATTTCTTTCAGTTATATTTATGCCCCTTAGATTAAGCCTTAGATTTTTACAAATCCATTACCACATGTTGGTTCATTTGAAATCTCAAAGTCACACACCCATAGTGTAACACGCACACGCACTATAGGCTGAACTATAGTTGGCTGTCCTTTTCCAACCAAATAATTTCTAAACTGTCATTTCAAAACCAGATCTGGGAAGGTTGACTCGAAGAGCTCTGATCACCTGGTCACAGGAAGTGTGTCTGGGCTGGACACCAGGGGACATTCCCAGGCACTTCTGAAGAGTCCTGCACCCACAGTGTAGCACGGGGTGGGGGTGGTCATTTGCATGAAGGGCTCCCAGCGGTGACCTCCCACTCCCAAGCCCCACAGAACCCCGCCCCTGATCTGGCTACCCCGAGGGACAGGGCCCTGACCCAGGGCCCAGGGAGGCGTCAGAGAGCCAGGGGCGGGGGGTCATTTGCATGAAAGGAGCCTCCCCCTCTCACAGTATGAAGAGGGAAGGAGCGGCGTGGGGACGCGCTGCTCAGCTGTGGGGCCACAGACGGCAGGACGCCCTGACCGTGTCCACCATGGCCTGGTGCCCTCTGCTCCTCACCCTGGTCGCTCTCTGCACAGGTGACTGGATGGGGGGACAGGGGAAGGGTCTTGGTAAGACACTCATGCTGTGTGCCCCGCTCTTGTGTCTGGACCCCCGAGTCACCATCTCTGTTTCTCTCCCTTCCAGGATCCTGGGCGCAGGCTGTGCTGACTCAGCCGTCCTCCGTGTCCGGGTCCCCGGGCCAGAGGGTCAGCATCACCTGCTCTGGAAGCAGCAGCAACATCGGTGGTAATAGTGTGGGCTGGCTCCAACAGATCCCAGGATCGGCCCCCAGAACCCTCATCTATGGTAGTACCAGTCGACCCTCGGGGGTCCCCGACCGATTCTCCGGCTCCAAGTCTGGGAACACAGCCACCCTGACCATCAGTTCGCTGCAGGCAGAGGACGAGGGGGATTATTTCTGTGCAACTTATGACGACAGTATCAGTGGTAACACGGTGCTCCAGGCCAGGGGGGAAGTGAGACAAAAACCTCTTCTCCCCACAGTCATGGGCCTCCTGGGGCTGATCCATCCCCTGTCAAAGCAACCAATATATAACATTTTGGTGAAGGGCGGGTAGTTCAGTGCAATCAGGTGCTTACTTTACAAGAGGCCTTCTGCTAGTCACAAGGAGCTGATGTCCCCATGAAGGAATTTAGTGATTTTCTGGATTGAAGAAATGCAAGCACTGGGATCATGAAACCAGTTCCTGAAAATATCTAACTACCTATAGACCTGTTCCACTGGTTTCCCTGGAGCACCAAGGGCCTCGCTCTGCACCCTGAACTCGTTTCATGAAGCGGCGAAGGTCAGCAGGTGCAGCTGCATAGGCAGTTGACAAGCACTCTAGTTGCTGTTGTTCAGCTGTTAGCAAATGCTCTTGACAAGTGCCTGTTTGTAGTTGACAGTAATAGTTCCTGTTTTCCTGTTCTTTCTTAGAACTTTAGTAATTTGTTTATTTATGGCTGCATGGGGTCTTCATTGCTCATGAGCTTTTCAGGTGGCTGGGAGCTCTAGTTACTTTTCCTCGGTATGCAGTCTTTTCATTGTGGTGGCTTCTCTTAATCAGAGCACAGGTTCCAGGTGAGCAAGCTTCAGTGGTTGGGGCTCTGGGGCTTAATTGTCCCTCAAAATGTGGAATCTTTTTTTTTTTCCATGTTAGAAATTTTTATTCCCCGTCTAAGATTTCACTGTCAGTATGATAGCAAGGAGTGGCTGACTGGACAGTGTAAACAATCTGACACTAAATGACGAGGTCAGAAGATCCTTAAACACGGCTATGACTTTTGTCCCTAATGTCCTCCTTCAGGCCTGTGGTGCTCCTGCCAGGAAAGCGTGATCATTGTCTGTTTGCAAGGAACCATCAGACGAGCCCAGCTGGAGGGTTATCCTCTGGGATGAGAGGTGTATCCTATGAAACTGCGAGGAACACAAAAGACAGGTCAAGACAGAGGAATGAGTCCAGATTGGGAGAGGCTGGCTGCTGCTGCTAAGTCACTTCAGTCGTGTCCAGCTCTGTACGACCCCATAGATGGCAGCCCACCAGGCTCCTCTGTCCATGGGACTTTTCCAGGCAAGAGTACTGGAGTGGATTGCCATTGCCTTCTCCAGAAATGTGGAATCTGTGGAATCTTTACAGACCCGGTACTAAACCCATGTCCCCTCCATTGGCAACCTTAAACAATGGATCACAGGGATCACAAATCGTGCAAATGTCGCTTTTATGTGTTTTATGTAACAGTTGTATGTACAACCCTTTGCTTCCTCAAGAACCACAAATTTTTCATGCTTTTCAATATAATATCTATATATAAAGTGTATCTATGGGAAGCCTGGAATTGCTGAAGTTTGTTTCATATTTCCAGGTTCCTATGCAATATTGTTCTTTACAGCATCAGACCTTGCTTTTATCACCAGTTAGAATGTTACAAATGTTAGGTCCATGAATCAAGGCAGATTGGAAGTGGTCAAATAGGAGATGGCAAGAGTGAACGTTGACATTCTAGGAATCAGCGAACTAAAATGGACTGGAATGGGTGAATTTAACTCAGATGACCATTATATCTACTACTGTGGGCAGGAATCCCTTAGAAGAAATGGAGTAGCCATCATAGTCAACAAAAGAGTCCAAAATGCAGTACTTGGAAGCAATCTCAAAAACGACAGAATGATCTCTGTTCGTTTCCAAGGCAAACCTTTCAATATCATAGTAATCCAAGCCTATGCCCCAACCAGTAATGCTGAAGAAGCTGAAGTTGAACGGTTCTATGAAGACCTACAAGACCTTTTAGAACTAACACCCAAAAAAGATGTTCTTTTCATTATAGGGGACTGGCATGCAAAAGTAGGAAGTCAAGAAACACCTGGAGTAACAGGCAAATTTGGCCTTGGAGTACAGAATGAAGCAGGGCAAAGGCTAACAGAGTTTTGCCAAGAGAATGCACTGGTCATAGCAAACACTGTCTTCCAACAACACAGGAGAAGACTTTACTCATGGACATCACAGGATGGTCAACACCGAAATCAGATTGATTATATTCTTTGCAGCCAAAGATGGAGAAGCTCTATACAGTCAGCAAAAATAGGACTGGGAGCTGACTGTGGCTCAGATCATGAACTCCTTATTGCCAAATTCAGACTTAAATTGAAGAAAGTGGGAAAACCACTAGACCATTCATGTATGACCTAAATCAGATCCCTTATGATTATACAGTGGAAGTGAGAATTAGACCCCTACGAGCTCCTGGGTCTGGCTGTCCTGTTGCTTCAGACTTGAGTCAGATCCTCTACTATATAGTCTTTCCCAAGCTGGTTTTAGAAAAGGCAGAGGAACCAGAGATCAAATTGCCAACACCCGCTGAATCATCGAAAAAGCAAGAGGGTTCCAGAAAAACATCTACTTCTGCTTTATTGACTATGCCAAAGCCTTTGACTGTGTGAATCACAATAAACTGTGGAAAATTCTGAAAGAGATGGGCATACCAGATCACCTGACCTGCCTCTTGAGAAACCTGTATGCAGGTCAGGAAGCAACAGGACATGGAACAACAGACTGGTCCAAACAGGAAAAGGAGAACGTCAAGGCTGTATATTGTCACCCTGTTTATTTAACTTATATGCAGAGTACATCGTGAGAAACGTTGGGCTGGATGAAGCATAAGGTGGAATCAAGATTGTCAGGAGAAATATAAATAACCTCAGATATGCAGATGACACCACTCTTATGTCAGAAAGTGAAGAACTAAAGAGCCTCTTGATGAAAGTGAAAGAGGAGAGTGAAAAAGTCGGCTTAAAGCTCAACATTCAGAAAACTAAGATCATGGCATCCGGTCCATCCCTTCATGGCAAACAGATAGGGAAACAGTGGAAACAGTGGCTGACTTTATTTTGGGGAGTTCCAAAATCACTGCAGGTGGTGACTGCAGCCATGAAATTAAAAGACGCATACTCCTTGGAAGGAAAGTTATGACCAACCTAGACAGCATATTAAAAAGTAGAAACATGATTTTACCAGCAAAGGTCCGTCTAGTTAAGGCTATGGTTTTTCCAGTGGTCATGAATGAATGTGAGAGTGGGACTATAAAAAAGTTGAGCACTGAAGAATTGATGCTTTTGAACTGTGGCATTGGTGAAGACTTTTGAGAGTCCCTTGGACTGCAGGGAGATCCAACCAGTCCATCGTAAAGGGGATCAGTGCTGAATGTCCTTTGGAAGGAGTGATGTTGAAGCTGAAACTCGAATACTTTGGCCACCTGATGTGAAGAGCTGACTCATTTGAAAAGACCCTGATGCTGGGAAAGATTGAGGACAGGAGGAGAAGGGGACAACAGAGGATGAGGTGGTTGGATGGCATCGCCAGCTCGATGCACATGAGTTTCGGCAGACTCTGGGAGTTGGTGATGAACAGGGAGGCCTGGCTGTGGTGGTCCACGGGGTCGCAAATAGTTGGACACGACTGAGCGACTGAACTGAACTGAGCTGAACTGTTACATATTTCCAGTAAATAAGGATACATTGTCTTTTTGTGTAATAATTCCATGATAAAATTTTCTGTTTTTCTAAGTATTTTAACGTTTTTTTAAATTTTTCTCTACTAGAGCCAATGTTCGACCTTCTTATAAAAGTATGAATTTCATCTCTTTTTCTGCAACATTTTCCCACATGCCACAGGAGGCCTGTGGGACTGCCCTGGGGTCCCTTCACAATTGCTCAGGGAGCACCACTCACTCCAGGAGGCTGGGCTGGGGCGGGGCCTGTGCTCCTGGAGGGACTCAGCTGTGCGTCCTCTCTGGCTGCAGAGTCCCCTGAGCAGGGAGCTGTGTGGTCTCAGCAGGTGCCTCCTCCCAGGGGATCAAAGAGGGCAGCCCCTACCTCACCCGAGTCTGGGCTGTGAGCTGAGCTCCAGCACCAGGGCCAAGGAGGGGCTGGGTGGGCCCTGGGTGGGCCCCATTTGCCTGGCAGCCCCTCCTCTGAGGCTGGGGGAGAACGGGAGGCCTGGGGCAGCCCACCCCACTGTGGGGACCAGGGTCCTGTGGGCACCGTCGCCTGGACTCCGCTCCTGCTCGTGCTCAGGTCACAGGTGGTGACGGGCCCCGGGCGCCAGGGCTCGGTCCCCGGCCTGCATCGGCCCCCGGGGCGCAGACTCCCGGAACCTTTCCTGCAGCTCCTGCCCCGTCGCCCCGCGTCTGTGTCTGCGGGCTCCGTCTCCCAGCCTGGGCTGGCTCAGCCCGCCTCCCTGTCCGCGTCTCCGGGAGCATCAGCCAGACTCTCCCGCACCCTGAGCAGCGGCTCCAGTGGTGGCGCCTATGCTTTATACTGGAACGAGCAGAACTCAGGCGGGCCTCCTCAGTAAGTCCTGAGGCTCTATTCAGACTCCAGTAAGTATCAAGGCTCCGGGGTCCCCAGCCGCTCCTCTGGATCCAAGGCTGCCTCAGCCAACGCAGGGCTCCTGCTCACCTCGGGGCTGCAGCCAAGGACGAGGCTGACCATTTATTGTTCAGCCTATCACAGGAGCACAGATACTAACAAGGTGCTCCA